GATTTTAGTCAGGGTGTGTCAATCATCCCTTATGTTTTCACCAGAAATGATGGACTAGCCCCCTCATTTGTTCGCTTTCTTCCCTCTTCTCTCTATTCGACTCTATTCTCTATCTTCTCAGTCTGCTCTTTTCTTCTATTCTCTCTCCGTGTGTGCAAAGTTTGTGAGTTTTTCCTCTTTCTCATGCAAAATTTGTAAGTTTCCTTACCCGTTAATTTTATTAGAGTAGCAAGTAGATTGAACAAACTAATAAAGGTTTTGTCATAAATGATTTTGAAATTGATCTAATTCATCATTTTTCCCCTTAATTTGAAAATCAATTTATGTGATCTCTGAATTTGACTACCTCACATAAATCTAGTTCGTGCTGTCTAAATTTATTAAATTTTTTTGTTTGTTACTAATGTGGCAACGAAAAAATAAATAAATTATCTTTTGGATATTTAAAAGAAAAAAAAGGCTAGCCCCATCTCTCCTGCCCCATCCGCCGTCTGCCAGACCCAACCACCAAAAGCCAAGCTCCACTCCGGTGGCGGCAATTGTGTTGTTGAAGGTACATGTGAGGCTTGCAGTCTCTCTCTTTACGTATATATACATGCAAGGTTCTGAAAAACACTAGGTGCTAGTCGGACGGCGGGCAGAGACATAGCCGCGGTCCAAGTGGATTTATGTTAATTTATTGTATATCTTGTAAATAAGTACTTATTTATAAAAAAAAAAACTTATACTTGTATAGACAATAAAAGAATGACCAAATGCAAAAATAGAAGTAAAAGAATACACAAAGTATATCCATCCAACAAGTTCAATATTTAAAAAAAAAAGTAAGCATATAATCATAATGATGAGTATTCTTGGATGATTGACTAAAATCTTCTTGTTCATGATCCTTGCATTGGATATGATTGACTAAATTCTTCTTGTTCATGATCCTTGAATTGGATTAGGCTTAGACCAAATTATTTAATCTTGTTGTATCTAGTTCATTTCTTTTCTTTGCATATATCCCTCAAAAGTGCTCCAGTTCATTTCACAATTGGATGAACTTGTAGTCAATCTATCATTTTCAAATTAGGCAGGCCATTTCCATAAGTATACCACCATGAAACTAAAAAAGAAAAAAAGCACACAATTAATCATTAAAAAATAAAAAAACCAAACCGCTGCCACCTAGGACCACCTAGCTCTAGACCGATTTTTCGAAACGATTTGCACTAAATCAAAGCAGACCACCTAGTGCCTAGACGGCTGCCTAGGACGATTTTTAGAACGATGTATACATGTTATTCTCGTTCACTTTCTGCTTCAGCACCTTTGCTTCCTCATTACCCCAATCTAGCATATGGGTTCTTTCATTTTCTCACTGGATTTCTTTCATTTGGACATTGTGCCATTAAAGGTCGACGATTGAAGGTTTTATGGGAGCTGAGCTCAATTTGCATTTAATGTGTGCCTACTCTTATGTGCAACGTCAACAAATTAACAGAGACTATATTAATGTGAGGTAGTTAAATTACATTTATTGATTTTTAAATTGTGAGGTCAAAATAATGAGTTTGGTCATTTTTATGAATCATTTGTGATAAGCCTAATTAGAATTTAAGATGGAGAGTGCAGAATGGAAAATAACAAACTAAACTGCTACTATGGTTCGGATTGGCCGATTTGGTTGACCTGATGCCCACACCAACATGTAACAGTGGCTAGATCGTAATTATTGGATGAGTAATGCTTGAGAGACCAACATTTTAAAGCAAATGTTGTAAACCATATGACGTGATTATTGATTATTAGATTACTGTTTAAGTGTCGATTAACATACTTATTTCTTATTAGTCACACATTATTAAGACCAACAAATAACGTGGTTGTTGATGATTGAGTGTTGATTGATCAATTACCTAGTGCATCATTGATTTGGATTGAATAATGAATTATCTATCACACTAAATAGCTAAATGGCTAAAAACTTTCAACTTGGTCGATTTTGGGAGCAACAGAAAGGTGACCCCTACAGTGGGCAGTTGGTCTTTTGCCTCTATATGCATACGCATGACTTGCCGGTCGAATCTCATCATTTTCATCCAACAGGATCCTTTCCTAATCCTTTTTAGAATATTGAGAATCCATTAATTATGTTTGTTCATCGTATATCGTGCGGTCAGTTTTTATCAAGTACGGTTTGTGTTTAATTTTAAATAAAAATATTTAAAATGATTTCTGATCGTACGATGCACGATAAACGGATACGATTCACGTATTCCATTTTCACAGTTAACCTTTAATGTCCCACATTTCCCAATCACCCACCAGTGCAGCCACCCAGCACCACAAAAATGCCCAAAGAGTGGTCACACTTGTTAATGCTCGATCTGCTATTATTGTTTGCTGCTGAAACAAACCTGTGAGGTCCAAACCTTCTTGGAGGTCTGCATCATCATAAATGAAAACAACAATTATATATGATTGATTTGCAATGAAATTAAGGACCATGAGTAATTTCAATTCAGTTTCTTTTTTACACAAGTGATATAGTGCTGGGGGTCCGAATTGAACTCTATACATTGAATGCATTCGTAAATACTTTTAACTAACTGAGTTACAAAAATATATCAGTAATTCATCTCGGTTGAACTTGATAATATCAAAATTGCAAAACGCAAATTAAGAGCAAGAGCAAAGCACTTGAACTATCCTTTGTAAGGCATAACAAAGAGGCCAGGATCCGGGAGGCAATAGGGCAATAGTTAGCATGAGGTATAATTTGACGTGCCATGCCAACAAGTCCTCCCTTCCAATGAGGATTCTCCCTCCTCTTATTTTTGGGTGGCATAACTCAAAGACATCATATTTCTTTTGAATGGTCTAAATTAGAAGGCAGGGATGGGAGGAGACAAAAATAGAAGGGAGATAATCCAAGTCTCTAGTTTTTTAACAGTTTGAGTTGCTACTTGGACTTCATTGTGCAGATAAGAAGCGTTCCTCCACGCAAGCACAACTTGATACGTTTGTAGAAATGTGTTATTTTGTATTTTTATTAAGCTAATTATGTACACATGTTAGATTGTGATTCGTCATTTAGTGTTTGGAATTCGAAACTCTCCCACACTAGCTAGTACTTCAATTATTGAAGCGATCTTAACTCATAACTGTAATTCGCCATTTAGTGTTTGGAATTTGAAACTCTCCCGCACTAGCTAGCACTTCAATTATTGAAGCGATCATAACTCATGCACCAATTTGCTTGTTAGTGCAACGTTCATGCCGCTGCAACCTCTGGTATTTTAGCAATATGAAATTTCACTAATTGACAAGAGAAGGCAGACATAAAAATAGCTCTTACTATATGGTCTATATAGCACTGCCGAGTGCTGACGTACCACAGGTGACCTCATAAATTGTTTATTTGACAATTTAAGCACTTAATTCCACCAGCCACACAAAAAAGTATGCTTGAATCATATTTCAACGAGCCAAACTGTTTATTTTTTAAATTGCACCTCATAAATCATATTTGCAAAATATTTAGCCCATTCGGAAATATTTGATACATCTAATAGAATTAAAAAAAATTGACGAACACTATGTTTTGAAAAACATTAAAATTTCATCGAGACAATTAAATGAGGAAATGGTTCTGAATTGAGTTGAATTTTTGTAAGAATGATTTATGAATCAAGACTTACAAAATAATCTGGTCAAATTGTTGAAATTTAATGTGAAGTGAGTCCCACAACTAATCTTTTTTTTTTTTTTTTTTTTGAAAAAATGAGGATCCCTTGTATATATATAGGATTTAGGATAGATTGTATATATTTGTATATTATCTATGTTTAATAGATATATGGCTGGAGGCAGTCTGGATAAATATGTTTGTATATATAAAACCATGTTCTATACTGAAGCAGAGTAGAAGCTCATACGCCATTGACCACGCCGCCATGGATATGGGGAGAGTAACGAATATTCGAGAGGTTCGCTACGCAGGAGAGATGACGCCGACGGCCATGTTCCTAGTATTAGGATTGGAACGACGGCGTCATCTCTCCTGCATAGGAAACCTTGCATTGTATGTGCACCAAAACCACTGCCATGGCAAATTGGCAACCAGAGATTCAGATGAAAATAAGGTTCTACTCATTATTTCAATTCGTGCTTAACCATAATGTTTGTTGTTTACTGTGAAATATGTAGTTTTAGTTTTGCAGGTACACAACCTAATTCGATATGGTTCGTTGCACTTCCAAAGCTTGGAAGAAGAGCTGCATAAAACTTGGTTACCAAATGTTTCTATTAGAACTAATATTTTGGTTTTCTCTTTTTGTGACTAGCGGGGATAGGTGATTCGAATTTAGAATGTCTTCCAACATTCGAAAAAGAAGAATCAGTTGGTTTTCATTTTCATTTTTTTTAACAAATTCTCCCCTCCTCTGTGCACTCTCGAGAAACTCTGAAGTTGGTGTACACTAAAGACGAATGACGGCAAACCTTGGCCGCACAAATTGGCCCACAATTTGTGCAACAGCTAGACAGGAGTCTACCATCCTATGTCTTGTTTACACTTCATCCCAAAGTCGTCTTATCAATCAAACTCCACTAGCGTCCCGAGCTGCCTCTTTGGAGTTGGGTGGGAGTCAAACTTGGGTGGCAACAATTTCAACACTCCAAGTTGCCAACCAACTCCTGGGGTTTCTAGTTGGTAATTTTGATGGTTGATTTGTACTCTGTTTTACCTTTATTATATTACCCGTGTTATCCACAAGATTTGGAAGCAAGCATCTATTTTACTGATCTGCTTTGTAAATCCATTGCAACGATAATCTGGAATGTGTGCGAAAATCACTTCTCTACACAATATCCAACTACGATCTGCAATCTCTCAATTATCACGGGTTTACGATAATCTCTACTTATTTACATGTATTGTCGGGGCTTTTGGACCATGCATTATTTACGAATAAACTTGATCAGCGCTTCAGATTCACAATTAACAAAATATATGAATTTCAAACCACATTTTTCCCAAATAATTCAAAATAAGCACACAATGCTTTAAATATCACTACAATACGTTCATGCTTGTTGGATGCTGCAACACCAACATAAAGAAAACCCAACGATGTATTATCGCTAACATGTTTCTCAACACCAACCAGCCACCAAGAAATACATTCCCGGGTGTCAACAATGTTACAAGTTCACAGTTCCAACCGTAGAAACACAACAAATTTCAACTTGGCTCCATGCTGGTTGTTTCAAGTTCCGAAGATATGTAGCTATCCAGCTACCATGATCCTTCAGCTCCCAGTGTTGGATTTTCGAAAGCGGAGAAACCCCAGAAAGTCTTCAAAGAGTAGGGCTGCGAGATAGTCACGCCTTCTTCAGTGATCTTAGATATCTGCAATTTCAAATTTTAAGAAGTGTCATCTTACAAGGAAGACAATAAACTCCACCCTTACAGCGGACAATATTTATCAAGAACCGTCCAGAGACAAATTGCTGCATTTCTTTTTTGGCTTTGCAACTACTGTGTTAATTTCAAACTATTAGTTCACACAGTTATCCAATGTGTGCAATCATCACTTTATTCACAGACCTATATAAAGATCAAAGTTTTCTGCGCTAACAACTTCCCCCACTCAGTAAGGAAGTCTTAAAAAGGTTGAACTGTTGCTTTCCAATGGTTCAGCTCATAAGAGTATGACTAATTTTAAAAACTGAATTCTTTACGCCAACTAATGTAAGAGAATATATGCAAACTCAACTAACATAAAAGTGAAATTTGGAGGAAATCTTTGATTTATTAATGACACCTGAGTTCCGAAGGCAAATAATTTTCCACTAGGCCTCTACAAATAAAATCAACTTGAAAGAGTAAGGAAACATAGACATGCAGAAATAAAGCTATTACATATTTTGTCAACCTTAAATAGAACACTTCCTACACTTGGTGAAGAGTTAGGACATACAAGGTAGCTAGCATCCAGGACTCAAAAATTGAAAAAGGAATCCATAGGAAGTTGGTAGTACTATTGTCTGGCATCTAACTAAATCCACAAACATATGCCACCAACCTTCAACGCCTCTTCGGAGATGAAGGTGACAATGAAAATAATGTGATGTTCATAAGCATATTGCACACATCTGACAAATGGGGTTTTCAAGAAGAATATTTTCCTCTAAAAAGGACCACCATCACCTAAATACTTTCTTCAATATGTATATAGTAACTATGATTAAATTTTACCAAGAACCTCATTCTACAATGTATTTTACAGAAAGTACATATATTAGAAAACTTGTTGGGTAGAAATAGGAAAACGAAATCAAACCAAAATTGAAATCAAAACCATGCAGTCCTGTTCATCAGAATAACAAGTAATAGTTCCCTCTTTGCCCACTTTAAACAATTTCCAGGGCTAAAGCCCAATCTATTATCAGTAAAATAACTAGTACTTACACGGATGACAATAGCAACAAAAAGAACAATCTATTGAAAATGGCTTATCAGGTTTCATAAGTGTTGAATATAAAAGATGACACACAGGCGGCTTATATGCCAGTTAAAGAAAATAAACAGATAGATGCATAAGAAAGCTCTCAGGAATCGTTAGCCAAAATTACGGAATATATAACTTTAAAATTGTTAGTATCAAAGGATACTAAATGATAAGAGCAAATAACAATAATTAATTACTCTACCTGAAGCTTGTTCACAGCAGACCGATCACGATAGAGAAGGACACGCATGCATTTCTCCAGCAGCTTTACACCTTCTTCGAAAGTCAAGTTCTCATGCCACTCATCACGAAGAATAGGCCGTGCAAGGTGATTTCCAAACCCAGTTGCTACATGATTGTCCTCGAAATTCACGCCTATCATGCTAACCTGGATAAGAATAAAAATATAACAAGTAACTAAGTCAACTCATTCAGTTAAAAAAAAAAAAAAAAAAAACATATGTTCTAAAACCATACAACATGCTACAGAGTGTTAAGGGAAGGAAACAAAGAGCCCTACCATGCCAAGATACTTCTGTCCCTTTTTTACTCCACCAAGGACAAGAGAGTTCCACAGTGGATTGAACTTGTTACGCCTATTGTACATCACACGAGTCAGATAGTTGTGTACCTCTTTCGGTCCCAAAGAGTTCCCATCATCCCACATGTTGTCGTATAGGCTACAACCAGAAAACTCAAAATGAATAATCCTTTAACCAACTGTTGCAAATGATACAAAGAAACAGCAAAAAAAAAAAAAAAAAAAAAAAAAACGCAATGAAAACATTAAGAAAGGTAGCTAAATGGTCATCTTCATAATTTTCCTTAATCAGGAATGCTTACATGAGTTCATCAAGATAACGTAATAGCTCCTGAAAGTCACTTATTTCTCCACTTGCACCAAGAAGAGAATGCTTTCCAACGGGCTTCATTCGCTCCACACTCTTATATCGCAGGGTAGACCCATAAGAACCTATCAACAAATCCATCATTTTGATACTGTTAAGAAAGATGAACAGACACAAAAGGAGCATGCATGGGTGTCTAAATTTTGCATCATGAAGTACTAGACCTCCAACCATAAAAAAGAAGAAGAAAGAGATGATGAATATTAATGATAAAAAGATGGGCCATAACATAAAAACAATGAGATAGAGAATACATGACATGGTACAAAGACTGTTAACAGTTACAATAAGTGCAAAAAACTGGCAGTCAGCAAGAAGAGAGGAAGAAGAAAACAAAAACAAAATAAAGAATACCCTTTTGTTTATGTACCCCCCAAAAAGGAATTTTACAGTCTGCAACATTCTTGATAACTTTAAACAGTATTGATGCAAACTACAAACAACCATTTATCCTTTGATTTAATAAATAAATAGCTTGTTAGGACCTAAGTTGCCTAACTTTGCTTCCTGAAACATGCGGAGGAAATTGAAGATATCCCATTGTCCTGCACATACTCTGTGCTTGTTTTAATTCTCCCCGATACTTGCAGCATTGTAGGGATCTAACTGCTAACAATGGGCATTATGTATAATAACACAGAAACTAATATACCGTACTTTGAAAAGACTCTAACTTGAACTATTTCTGCTCAAGATAAATTGGCACAAAGAGAATAAGCGTACAAGAACAACTACGAAAATTCCATAACAAACTTGATAAGAAGCTAAGAGAAAGGGGGAAAGAGTCCCGCCTTCCAACAAACACCAGAAAAAAGTTATACACAGCACTAACATCATCAATTTTCAATCTAGAAACTGACCAACAAGTTCAATCAAATAAAAAATTAAAGCTTTATTTTGTGATGCAATGTGAAGGAATTAGAAGCTAACCTCCCATATCAGCAGCCATCAAGATTCCATCTTTGTACTTCAGAGCCACAACAGATGTACCAGTCACATATGGGTACCTTCAAGAAGTTCAAAAATTAAAAAAAATTAAAAATTAAAAACACACAAAAATTAAAAGTAAATAATTGAAACAACATCATACAGAAAGCTAAATCCCCACCACCCAAAATACCCTAATCTCTGTTACATTAAAAAAAAAATACAGAGAATTTGTTGAAATTAAACATAGAGAAAACGAAGAGAGAGAGAGAGAGAGAGAGAGAGAGAGATTAGAACACATACAGGGTTCTCTGAGAGCCTTCAGGATTGCACAGCAGGCCGGGTTTGGATTGATTCGACTCCATTAACTGCTCGAAAAAAACCCTTCAAATGTTAAATCCAAGCAATTAAACGACAATCTGGGTGGTGAAATCAAATGGGCACTTGAAACTTACACTCGTTCTTTGCTTTCCGAAGCTTTTTTTGTGAGATCGCAGAGAGAAGAAAGCGTTAGACGTTCTGAAGCTCAGTGAGGTACATAAAGACTTTTTTTCCCTTTTCCTTCTGCTCAAGAAATCGCGACCCGAAACATTACTCGGATTGAATTAAGGAACAGTTGGTGGAATTGGACTACAATTCTAAGCCCAACTATAAGATATGGCCCGGCCCAATTCAAATAATTTGGGCGTTTTTGTTAAATTAACTTGTCTTCGACGTTAAAAGAAATTGTGAGTTTTAACGACAATGTTGGAAAATTTGAGTCGTTTGTAGTAGTTCCATCCTTCCATGAGCTGCTAGGTAACTGGTGGGTCAACTTCAGCTGGACTAACAGCCCATGTAGATATTGCCTAGGCCTTTACCTAGGGGAGGTGACGTCAAGCTGACGTTAGTCACGCAGTGAGAGGAGGTGAGACGCCAATTTTTGTTGTTGGGGGCTTACATCTGTTAAAAAATTAGAGAGCATGATTCTCTTCCTTCGAAATCTCGTCCCCTTTTGTTTCCTCCTCTTCTCTCACTTTCTTCTTTATCTTTCTCTCTATAAAAAAATGAACACAAAAAGTTGTACTGGCTCAATAGTAACCGTTCATTTGTAAGTAAAAGGTTTTACGCTCAATTCTCGTCAAAAGACGAATTTGAGCCACATTATTATGGCTAGCCAATTATGAGGCTTAGTCTACTCTCCTTTAGTAAGGATAATATCGTTTGTATATATATAAAAAAATAATAATAATAAAAAAAAAAAAAGGAAGATGAATTTATAAGGTAGAGAATCAATACTCTATAAAATAGGGCACCTCCAATGATTAGTACAAGTGGATCACTGAGTTGTGTTAATTTCCATTGATCATAGGATCCAACGAACAAGTCCAACGAACAAGTTTAACAAATTTAAAATAAAAAAAACTTGGAAAAAAAAGTTTTAAACATAGGAACATAAAATTAAAAATACAAAATGGAAAAAAAAATTTTGCCTATAAATTCTCAACCATCTTCTTCATTTCTTGCACCGAAACACAGTACAATCTTCTCACTTTCTCATATCTTTTTGAACCTTCGTAGTACTGCTTTTTATTTTACTTTCATGTGAATAGTGTTTACTAAGACTAAATATTGTTACTCAATTTAATCATTTTGAAAAAAAAAAAAAAAAAGCGATTAGTAATTGTCATGCAAATTGTAAATGGTGAAGTTGTACTGACAGCCCAGGGCTCCTCCACCCTCGCGTTGCTAACCTTCTCATCCTCTTCTTGGAATAATAAGATTTCTTCTTTATATTTCATCTTTCAACACCTTGAAAAGTAATGTTTTGTATTCCAACTAATCCTTTACATCAAATGAAACCTACATTAGCGATTTCGGTTTCATGTGGGCAAGATGCAACTTACAATTCAAACTGAGAACGAGTTTTTTGAGTTAGCTCACCCTCCTGGGATCGCGATCCTTTGTCCCGACCATTGTACTCTTCTTCTATAGTGGTGGCCACCACTATATATAAACAAGGGCTTCTAATTGCAAATTAGTTCTCTCTGGTACCTTGATGTGATAAATGTATACATAAGTGAGACATAAGCGTTTTGACTACGCTTGGTATGTGAGAAAGAGAGTTTTGGAATGGGAAAATGCTGTTTTTTTCATGGTTGGTAAGTTCATGTTTTTTATTTTTTTTAAAAAAGGGACAACTGGTGACAAGTCACGATTATTCATTATTTTCGAAGGTTGGGAAGATTCATAGAGACATTTTAGCCTTCTTTGACTATAAGTCTGGCTTTCACACCAAGTAAGTCCATACTTTGAGAAACGATTTACTAGGTCACGGGTACATAGCGGCAGGAAAGTGGATATCTTCACCAAACATGAAAAGCATTGATTGCTATATATTTTTATAATAAATTTGTCCTCATCAAGGACTAAATATGCCATTATATATATAAAAAATGATATTTCTTACCACCTTTTCCATTGTTGCCAAACATGAGAAACTTTTTATTTGTTGAATTCCTTTTTGCGTACCAAACATAGCGTTTTTGTAAACGTTTTCCTTCTTACTTTTCACTACACAGTAATCTCATCGAAAACAGTACAATCATATCGAAGTTATCTAGTCAAAAGTCAAAGAAGTTAGATATTTAACAAAACAATTTTGTACAGAATCTCAAATTCATTAGCCCTCCAAGTTGTTGCTTTACCAAAACAAATTGTGGGGCTGCTTTTACATTTTGGACGGATGTATTTTCTTTTTGATTTTGGAAACATTTTCTAAGTTCGTTGCTTTAGAAAAGGGAACTCACTCCTCAAATGATGAAGAGTACTTCATTATCAAAATACTTCGTGCTTGGTTATTGAAACGTCATACTTATGGTTCGAATTGTTAATATTACAACATATTTTTCTGAAAATTGTCCATACACGAAATAATAAATTACTCTGTAAAATTTGTTTCAAGCTTATCAAATTGTACAAAAGCAGATGAAGGAATTTGATAAAAGAATTTGACAAAACGACCTTAATTTTTTTGAAATGATATATGCAAAATAATTTATAATATTAATCAGTTGATCAACTCATTATTTTGCTCATGAACACAAAGTTATGTGAATGAAAAATTTTGCTTGTAAAATAGAAACTTCTTTGAATGAAGAAATTTTCATTGTGCTCTAACCACAAGGTGAAACACTATTTATCATCGTACAACAGAAAAAAATGATTTTTTGAAATATCATTCTAATTATATAATGATATATAATGTTACACATTAAGTCTGAAAACACGAAAATCTCACCTTTGATTGAGCCACGATAAAGTCGATCTCTTCCCCACACGACGGATTTTCCCATTCCATGGTGCGGGCCCCAGCTCGCCTCTCGGAGTTTCCCATCTGCCTTTCAAATTTTCAGTACTCTTTTTAACTCTTTGATTAAAATAAACAAAGTTATCCAAAAAAAAAAAATAAAAGAATTCATACATGTGCTTGCAGAAGAAAAATTGGTACTCTGCGGGACCCACAGGCGATGGTTTCGTGCTCCTTCCTCCTTCTTTCCTGATTCTCTCGTGCATGCTTTTTCCCGGTCCACTTTGATGGACACCTAATCGTACGGTTTACTAATTTTAAAATCAAATTACTTAAAAAACACAGGATTAATTATTTCAATTTTGAACGATGACGTGGCAAGATCAGAGCGGGCTGGGCCCCCCTTGGACCAGACCGATAAGTCCACACCGTACGAATTTGCCCGAGGCTAAAATGCGGGCGCGGTACACAACGTACACGTGAGCGCACCGGAACCGAACCCGGACGCGTCCCCGTAAAAAAACCGGATTGGATAATCGGCGATAGATCCGAACATTGTAATTGTGGGGATTGGTTCTGGTTGGGGGTCTTCGGTCAAAAAAGAAAAAAAAACGCAAAAACGATTACAGGGACGAAGAACAAGTAGCAGCATCGCAAAGTCGGCGTTTGGGAAAAACCCTAGACTCCCTCCCCCAATTCGATCAAGAAAGTAATATTTCAATTTTTAGGGTTTTTTTTTTTTGTTTTTTTCCTGCGATTGTTCAATTCAGGACTATCAGTTGAGAACTTGAGATGGTTTAATTTTTAATTATTTTGGGGTTTTTTAGGTGGTTAGATCGGTCCCTGTGGAGGCTATGTGCTCGTTTTTCTGGTTTGGTGGTTGATTAAATTATTGGTCCGGAGGTGATTCTGTACTTTCTGGGCCTTCATTTTTGGCGGAGAAAATGGATTTGGTAGCTAGTTGCAAGGTATTTTAGTTGTTTCTTTTCGATTTGATTACGTTTTTTTTTTATGCTTGGTGCATTAGTTGCTGAATTTGCTGGAAAAAGTCGAGTTTGCGGCGATTATTTATGTAATTTGATGGATGATGCAATTTTGTAATGGGTGGAGTTTTGGCATGTGGTAGAACATTAGCCTCAGAATGTTTGCTTTACCTGCGAATTTACCTTGGTGAATGCAGTCACTAGTACGCAAGCGGTGTTATTGAATGCATCAGTGGAAATAAGCTCATATAAGTAGCTTGAGGTGTTTGTCACTTAGATTTTCTGTCATTCAATTAGTAGATGATATAATGTAGTCGGGTATGTCTCAAATGACAACTTTTTTTTTTTTGGTTAATTTTATCGTTAGTGTTGTTCGTGTGACTTGCATAAGGTATTAATGGATGAGATAAGAAGAATGAGTTTGGGTAGTTTGAAGCAGAGAATGCGAAGAAGCAAAGACATTTGAATACAGTTGATCACGAAAAGTTAGCAAGTAATTGTTGGATGGTGGAGATTTACCTTCTAAGAAAGAGTAGCAAATCTAGTTACATATTCGGTTATAAGTTTTACTTTCTTTTTTCATGTCCCATTTCTTTCCTCTTGAGGTTAAAATATCCTTCACAGCTTTTAATTCATTGAGACTGTTTGAAATGCATGTTGCAGGCACAATTTTGCTTGTGCTGGATACATTGAGACTTTCATATATTCAACTTGTGAAATTCATATCATTTTCAACTTAGAATTTTTGTTTATCATTGCAGGAAAAATTGGCATATTTTCGAATAAAAGAGCTCAAAGATGTTCTCACTGAATTAGGTCTTTCAAAGCAGGGGAAGAAGCAGGTAAGATGCTAGAATTACCGCCCTGTGATGTGATGTCGGGTTCCTGTAAGTTGTGGATATCATCTACATGCTCACCTCTTCATTCCTTTATATAAGGGATATTACTTATGTACTCAACTTTGCACTGCATTTTGTGCTCTGTGGCATAATTTCTGAGTTCACAGGGGTTTATGTTGATGTAGGGTTCCATTGTTCTTGTCAATACTCCTATAAAGGAAAAGAGGTCCTGTTATATTCTACATACTAATTTAGGTGTATTTATCAAGGTTGGATTGAATCTTCCTTGGTATGTATTGTGCAGTATTGATATGTTATGGAGAGTTATCATTGTATACTGGGATGCATGATAGTCTCAATGACTACCAAAAGTTGCTTAGTTATTTTCCCCTCTCTTATTTTCCCCATTATTTGATCACTTAAGAGTGTAACTGTCAATTCTATAAAAATATTTGCAACTTTCAAGATGGATGGTTTCACCTACGAGTATTTTGTATGTACTTTTGTTATTCCTTTCTGTGCTGTCATTTGACTGCATGGATCTGTCAAATTATTTTGGATACCTTTTTGGCTGGAATTTTTGTGTAATAGGATCCTGTTCATTGCATAACAATTGGCTTAACTTCTACGATGGTATCTTGTAAAGCATTTTACAAGGATTTTGAGATGAATGGCATAAGAGAAAGCCGTCGTTGTCTGATTTACGAATATCTATTATGCAGGATCTTGTTGACCGGATATTGGCCATTCTTTCTGATGAACAAGGTAAATGGTTCTATAGCAATTGTTTTTTTTTTCCTGGTTCAGATGATTTAATGCTACAAGCCTACAGTAACAGTCCTGTATGCTATAAATGTAGCTTATATGTTGGGAACCTAGTGTACATATTGCATAGTTCCTTTTCTTTGTCCAGCCAGATAAGATATTAGAAGTATTTGTTTCTTAATTGGCTTCTATAATAAATGCATAGGAGATGAGAATTGATTGGGTCACAAGTTATTGATGTACTTCGTATGACATTTTATGTTAATGAGCATGCTACATCTTTTTAGCATTCATAATGCTATCTTTTTGCAGCATTAGAAGTGGCTTTCATCTGCAGTTTGTCTTCTATTTGGCTGACCTAGAAACGTTCGGGGATCATGTATCTTGTTTCTTAAGAGTCTTAGAGTTAGGACTGCAACTGCTTTTTTCCCTCAAAGCACATTTTCTGGTTCAAAAACCATTGAAGACATTTTATTTATAAATCTTGTAAAACTAATGATGTTATATGTTATCCACAGTTCTTTTTAACCATCAGCTTTCGGTTAAAGGTTGTCATCCAATAATTCAATTTTTGAGACGTATTCCTGATAGAGATTCAAGTCATTCTAAATCTGGATAGTTTTTTTGATATCCATATTTTTGAACCTAGGTATCATTTCCTTTTTCCTGTGCACTGAAATTTACTTCTCGACCTTTTTGGTTTTAGGCCTGTACGGGAATGCTTGTCGGAAGCTCTCTGCTCTTTAGCGCATATGTTAGAAACACCAATATTTACTAAAATGTCTAGTGCTTCTTGGAAATGCTTCCTCAAGAAGAAGCACAAAGGAAAAGCACTAAAAATGTTTTTATTGCACATAAGTACTTCTAGTTATTTCTGCCAAATTCTGCTAAAAGCGTTTTTAGCTATTCCAAAAGCAGTGCCAAACAGGCCTTTAGCTTCTATGCTCCAAACCATTTTCTAATGATGGTGTTTTCATTTAATCTTTCTCTGGTCTGGTTCTTTTGGGACTACTTTTAGTTTGTGACACCATGATATGTCTGCATTATTTTGATTCTTTGGTTATGTTTCCAATTCTTTGTTTTGATCATTAAAAACTTTCACTTTTATCTCCAGTCTCTAAAATGTGGGCAAAAAAGAATGCAGTTGGAAAGGAACAGGTGGCAGAACTTGTAGATCACACCTATAGGTTTGTCCTCATATGCCGTACATTTGTTGCATTTATTTTATTGAAGGGATGGACTTATCTTTGCCTTTTTTTTTCCTTTGTTGTCTAGTATATTGAATGTAGAGCTGAAGTCCTCAGATGTGCTTTATATATAGTTCTCTATTTATTCAGACTATGTATTTTACTTTGCTTTTGTCCCCTGACTAGTATTTTTTTTTCTGTTTTCTCCAGAAAAATGCAGATTTCTGGTGCCCCTGATTTAGCATCAAAGGGACAATGCATCTCTGATAGTAGTAATGTGAAAACAAGAGGCGAAATTGAGGATCCCTATCAGTCAGCTATCAAGGTTCGCTGTCTCTGTGGGAATTCATTAGAAACAGAGTCAATGATTAAGGTATCCTACAAATTTTCATATTCTCTTCCTAAGTCCCTTAGGTTCTAGCATGTTTGATTAATCACAAATCTTCTCCTTGTCCCATCCTTTTATCATTTGACTACAATTGTGTACATGAACCATTTTCTTATTTGAACACATTTACTGCACCCTTTTTATGGTTTTTGTTCTTTCTTATTTGAATGACTTTACTGCACCTTTAATGGCAGTGTGAAGATCCAAGATGCCAAGTATGGCAACACATGGGTTGTGTTATAGTTCCAGAGAAACCTATGGAAGGCAATCCACCAGTTCCTGAATTATTTTATTGTGAACTCTGTCGACTAAGTCGGGCTGATCCGTATGTAGCACCAGTATTTTCTTGTTATAAAAAAGTGATTATAGCTTGGTTATTTTTCGTATGTTTTATTTTTAATTATTCATGTAACCATTAGCCAAGCCATCTTCTTTTTCTTCGTCATTGTTTTGCTTTTTGGGGACCTTGGGGAATTTGTTTAATTTATACATGCAAATCCTTTTTGCTAACTTCTTTCCCATTTTAAATTGGGCTATATCCTTAATATGATGATGTTAACATAGTGAAAGTGATTTTTATTTTTTTGGGTTATGACCTTTATAACCTGCTCTACACAGTTTATGTACCATTTGAAAAATTCAATATTTATAAAAGGTTCTGAAGTTTTGCTCAAACAAAAAATTAGGTCTCACTTTGTGTCCATAACATATTTCTTTATGATTGTTTGCATAAAATTTTGAGTGTCACTTGAATAATAAACTAGTTACAATGATTAATTGGTGGTAAGGTGCCGTTTTGAAAGGCAAAGTGTACATTGAATTGAATTGAGGGGGTGTAAGATCATTATGTGGTAATGATTTAAAAGACGATATGACTTCAGTTCCAGATAAGTAGCCAAAGAGATTCATCTTGGTCCCAAGTCCCAACACAATGATTATGGTGATGGCATGGCTTTTGGCATGCTAATGTGTGTTTTATATTTGGTGTATCTTGACATTTTTGAAACTGGACCTATTTTAACTAGTAACTTCAGTATGGTGGGTCAAACTCAGTGACTAGGATTTAAGGCTATGTGATGATTTCTACTTATATCAGGTTGTGGTATTTTGGTTTGAATGAGTTCTTTCGCTTTATTTGTTTTATGTAATAACTATTGCCTCACTTAGCTTATGTTTTATTTCAACATTGCAAATACTTTGCCCCCTTTTATGTTATGACATTTGTTTCTTCTGTTTTTTGGCTTAATTGTTTTTTATTTTTATTCAGGTTTTGGGTAACAATTCAACATCCTTTACAGCCTGTTAAGTTGCATGTTACAAATAGTCCAGCTGATGGGTGAGTGGACCATGTTTAATTTTTTATAGTTATTTCTCATGAATGTACTATGCGCCCATGCTCTGAGCAATAACATTCTAATTCCAGCAACAATTAAGTTCGTTCTGAACATGACATTGCATTGTGTATGATACCTAGCCATCATAAATATGATCCATAACTGTGCGTGCACTGTTATTTCACTCGAATTTCGTAATACCATTATGAATCAGCATATTCAAAAGAGTAAACATCCTGTAACCTGAGAGTAGTTTTCTTTTGATTTAATATGAAGACTTCGAAGGTTTCTTTAACAGGTAGAATGAACCTTATGAGTGTCAAGTATCTATGTACACTCTCACATATAGACAAGCAAACCCCTTTTGATAATATTTGCACATTTATCCATGTTTTGATGCTTTACTTTGCATCTGATATTTATTCCCCATCCCCTTGCCAATTGTCCAGTTCGAATCCAGTGCAAAGTGTGGAGAAAACGTTTCAACTCACAAGAGTAGACAAGGACTTGCTGTCTAAACAAGAATATGATGTTCAGGTTGGTTAGTGTATTGTTTGAAGATTGGCGAATCATTGGCTTTATATAGTACTAAATCATTGATTGGTCATTTGACATCATAATGCAGGTTTGGTGTATGCTTTTAAATGACAAAGTAGCATTCAGAATGCAATGGCCGCAATATGCAGATCTGCAGGTCAATGGTATGGTTATTTTCAAATTTTGACATAGATTGATGAGTTTTATCTTAATTTAAAATCTTGACTCTCGTCTTTAAAGAAGCTGCTTTGGAATATGTTTTTTTCAGTGTATATCCACTTGAATGTGCTGTGTATTATTGGAGATTGTTCTGTATAATTTGCAGGTATGCCTGTTCGTGCAATCAATAGACCTGGCTCTCAACTTCTTGGAGCCAACGGTCGTGATGATGGTCCCATTGTGAGTTTTTTCCTAGGCAATTATTAGCTTTTAGTTGTCAGTTTTTGTTCTGTGTGCTGGACCCTCTCTATTTTAGATGAGATTACTTGCCTTCTGACTGCAGGGCCTTTTCTGATTGCTCTGTAATTCAAAACACTTAAATAAGTTGTTTGTGTTAGTATCTTAGTGTACTTCATGTTGTTTTGTCAGATCACACCATATACGAAAGACGGATTTAATAAGATTTCCTTAACAGGATGCGATGCCCGCATTTTCTGCTTAGGGGTTCGTATTGTGAAGAGACGCACAGTGCAACAGGTAGTACTGATGTCTTATCTATTGATTTTGTTTCTTTGGGTGGTTGAGCTTGCATTATGCTCTTGTAGTTTCCTTAGCATATGCTTGTAAAACTTGTAACCGGAAAAAGAAACTTCTGGAAGAAGATTGTTGGTGAGGGAGAAGTCAAATCCATAATGTCGAATTATGCTGTTGTCGAATTGCCAACAATCTTCTCAATATATAAAAACACAACAAATATCTTCTTAATTGAATGTCCTGAAACAGGAATTTGTACATGATTAACTTTTTGAGCTCAATCTCATAATTTACTGGACTATTATTGTTGTCGTAGAGTTGATCATTTATATTATTCCAGTACTTGTTGATATGTAAGTATAATTTTCGTATGCTTTCTGTTATTGGTTTTCCATGGCGTTTATTATATTAGTGGGTCTTTTAAATTTTACTTTTTCTAGATTCTCAACCTGATTCCCAAGGAGTCTGATGGTGAGGGTTTTGAAGATGCGCTTGCTCGTGTGTGTCGTTGTGTTGGTGGTGGGACTGCAATGGATAATGATGATAGTGACAGTGATTTGGAAGTTGTTGCAGATTCTTTTACTGTCAATCTACGTTGTCCGGTAAGTTGTCTTCCCAACTTACCTTTTGTGCGATGAAATGCTCACTTCTATATTAGGAGTTGAAGTACAGTTGGGAAATATGACTCACTTATCTGATGCATTATGGAATAATTCGATGAATTTTAATTTTTGTGTATGAGCTTAAGATGCTGTGTGCAATTAATATCTCATGGCTTCAAGAATGCTTAGTTTCCAAGCATATGAATAACCAAGGGACTGCTAACTTCTTCAGATTCTTGTAATTTCGATATCAGGAGTGCATCTTTATGTTGCATGTTAGGCTAATTGTTAGTGCTTTCCAAGTTCCCATGTGGTGCAACAGATAATAGCACCCCTACTAGTGACGGGACGATCTTTTATTTGTTGGAACGTGCTGACACTAATTGTTCTAACTCAAACACATATCTTCTATATGTTGCAATTTTATTTCTTTGATATTGTAGGAATTCATGTTGAATTATTTTTTTGTAGTACATGAAATGAATAGTCCGGAGATGAATTATTTTTGTACAGGAAATGAATAGTCCAGAGACAAGTTTTCTTATGTCAACTAACATATTTCATGCCTTGTTTTTAACGGCTAGTTGTTTCTGGAACTGAATTGGTATTTTTCTGCATGTATTTTATAGATGAGTGGTTCAAGAATGAAGGTTGCTGGGAGATTCAAGCCCTGCCCTCACATGGGCTGTTTTGATCTTGACGTTTTTGTGGAAATGAATCAACGTTCAAGGAAGGTAAGCCTCTATGCAAAATGAAAGACGTAGTTTGTTTGTCCTTGTTTTTAATTCTGTTTGTTTAGCAAGCTTTGGTTTGTGATTGCAGTGGCAATGCCCCATTTGTCTCAAGAACTATGCACTGGAGAATATCATTATTGACCCTTATTTCAACCGTATCACTTCAAAGGTAATGCCTTTTTATGCACTACATAATACTGTGGTTCTAAAGTATCACTTAACTGATTTATCCTTTTTTTCTTTTTATTTTTATTTTTTTTCTGTTTTCTCTTTTTGTTTCGTGGGGTTGTTACAGATGAGGTATTGTGGAGAGGATGTAGCAGAGATTGAGGTGAAGCCTGATGGGTCTTGGCGAGTTAAGACTAAAAGTGAAAGTGATCGCAGGGAGCTTGGGGAACTTGGGCAGTGGCACCTTCCTGATGGTACACTTAGTGTCCCGACAGAAGGAGAAAGTATCCCAAAAACGGAAGTGTTGAAGCAGGTCAAACAGGAAGGTGTTTCAGAAGCTCATCCTGGATTGAAACTTGGAATCAGGAAGAATCGCAATGGCTTTTGGGAAGTCAGCAAACCTGAAGATATGAACACTTCTTCTGGTAATAGATTACAAGAGCAGTTTGCAGACCATGAGCTAAAAGTTATCCCAATGAGTAGCAGTGCCACTGGAAGTGGTAGGGATGGCGAAGATGCCAGTGTAAATCAGGATGGTGGTGGAAACTTTGATTTCTCTACCAACAATGGAATTGAGATGGATTCTTTTTCTCTGAATGTTGATTCAGCATATGGATTTTCAGGACAAAATCCTTCTGCACCAGTAGGAGACGCAGAAGTTATTGTACTAAGTGATTCTGATGATGATATAATGCCCTCTGGAACCATCTATAGGAATGACAGAACTGATGCTGCTGGGCTTGGTTTTCCTGTGACGCCTTCTGGAATTGCTGATTCATATGGTGAAGATCACACACTTGGAACTGGTGGAAACTCATGCTTGGGTCTTTTTGGCAACGATGATGAATTTATTCCGCTCTGGCCACCATTAGCTCCTGGAACTCAATCTGGTGCCGGGTTCCAGTTATTTACTTCTGAGGCAGATGTACCAGATACCCTAGCTGGTCTGCAGCATAGTTCCATCAATTGTTCCACATCCATGAATGGATACACTTTGGCTCCAGAAACTACCATGGGATCTGCTACACTAGGACTTGATTCTTCTGTTGCACATTCAGATGCTGACATGAACGGTGGCTTAGTTGATAATCCAATGGCATTTCCTGGTGATGACCCTTCTCTTCAAATATTTCTTCCCACAAGACCATCGGATGCATCAGTTCATTCTGATTTGAGAGATCAAGCTGATATGTCAAATGGTGTCCACACTGATGATTGGATATCTCTTAGGCTTGGGGGTGACGCCAGTGGCATCAATGGGGCGCCTGCAACTCCAACCGGTTTGAATTCTAGAATGCAAATGCCATCCAGAGAAGGTGCCATGGATTCTTGGCTGACACAGGTTTGTTCTCTTTTGATAGATTTGTTGCAAATGACTTTTAGATTGTTCATGATTAGCATCAGAGTTGCAACACATTCACTATATATAGTTCAGGCAGGTGCTATTTCTGAATCCTTGTATTGCTTCTTGAATGAGGTTATTGACTTTTAACTATATCTCAAGTCTTGAAAGAAAAGCTAAAATATTTAGTCAGTATAATTCCACTCTTAGCAAAAGTTGAATGTAAACTTTTGACTCTGCATATGGAATTTGCTTCCACCCATTTCCTTACCTCAACGTGGCTAAGCTTTCAGGCTGTTTAATTAGTACCAATAATGCTCTTTTAGATATAGTTTTATTACGTAGCCTTGTATTGAACTTTCAAATACCTTTTTATCAGCAAAAGTTAGTTTCTTACTTTTTTATTCTTTTGCAACTATTGATGCTCAGAGTCTCTAAGAAGCAGAAAACTAGATTACAAAGAAAACTAATTTTTATTGTTAAACAAATGATATAGGATTACAAGTACCTGAAAATTTATCCAAGCCATTTGTTATATATATTTTGATTTGGGTGGCCTCGCTAAAATTGTTGCAAATAGTTGGAAGGTTTTAAGTCAATCCGAGTCTTAGAGGTCTCACCTTATTTTAGTGGTTGAAAGTTCGACTGACTTCTTCCTTTGTATAGTACATTCGTGTAATTTGATGTGAACCAGCTCATCTCAATCCAGTGAAACAGTATCAAACACCTTAGTCTTGTCGTTAAGCACGTGCAGAGTTCATTTTCTGTCTCTACTTAAGTCTTTAGATTTTGGTGGTTCTTTTAAATTGATCTTGGTTTTGCTTACGACCGTGTAAAAAACCAGAAAGAACTAAATATACATATTATAAACATGCTTAGTATGTGGGATACAGTAACATCTAGTTTCATTGAGCATTTGTGTGTTTTAAATAAATAACGTGCTATAACAGGTTCTAAGAATCTCCTTTTTTGTCTTTAAGTTTCACTGATATATGCTGAGTGCTATCTCAGAAGATATATGCACGAGTTTGAGTAATGAAATTGGTCTATTGAGCTTCTTCAAGCTAAACCATGTGTGGAATCACAAGTTCAAGTTCACGAACACCATGGAACTAAAATCTGCAATTCAGATAGGACCTAACTTTTCCAAGCTTGTTGCTTACTCTGTCTGCATCCTTCACTCTTAAGCTTTGAAAAGCGTGAAGTTCATAATGTTCACCAAGGCAAGTTGAATTGATAGAGACTCTGGGGATATAATCGCATCAGAGACTAATCACATTTAATTTTCTTTGCACATCTCTGTTTAACATTTTCAGAGTCCATAACTGGTGGTTATCAGAGATCATAGGGGTAACCTTATTTTGTCTTCATTTGTAATATTGCTATCTTTCTCTTAGGAAACCCGCAGAGAGAGTTGTAAAGTCGATAACCTTATTAAAGAGACTGGGTATAGCAATATAGGTGTGTGGAAATTGTCCCGCCCTTATTTGGCATTCTTTGCAGTTCAATCAAAAAGATTAATAGGCTCACTGTTGTACCCTTTGCAGCTTCTTTGCTTCTCGGCATGAATGACGGTAGCAGATCTGACAGGACAAGTAGGCGAAGATCAAATAGTCCTTTCCAATTCCTCGCCAAAAACGTTCTGTGAGGCCGCGATTATATCTTTCTATTGACTCGGACTCTGAATAGAGGAACTGGAGCTTGTTTTGAGAACAAGGTTATTGGATTTTTTTTTATTTTTAGTTTTATCTCCCTGGGATTGAAAGCTGATCCTGGAGTAATCTCTTATGATTGAGCCAGAGAATAATCTAGTTTTGGGTTTAATTGGAAGAATGCTGACAGACATTTGGTTCCTGACGAGATGAAGCATTAGATGCTGCACTGGGCATCCGAGGTAGAAGAAAGCGATACAAATATACAAGGCATCCAAATCGACTGCATTGTTACAAAACTTGTGATGGCACCAGGATTCTTCGTGTTCCTCTCGTTAACAATCTGCAGGTCCGATGCTGCTATTGTACAGGAGATTGTGATTTGAATCCGAAAAATTGGGACGTGGCGGAGGAAACCCTGTCAAAGAAATAAAACGTAGCTGCCTCGGCTCGGTTTTATAGTGAGAAGCAATAGCCTGTAAATATTGACTCCAGTTTCAGATTTTTTATATAGATAGTCATTTTTTGAAAATTGATATTACTGACTTTTTATTGGTGTGTCCTTTACTGTCGGGGCATGATATTTGTATTAACTTATAGAGATCCATTTAAAGTACAGGGGATCGGCACTTGTGCGTCGCTCCGATGGCCGACGTTTTAAGTCATGGTTGCTGAGATCATAGTAGAACACTGACTTCTGGTGAGGCAACATAGAAATTATACCCAAAAGAACTTATATGTTTTATTGTATTTGGATTGCAATTGAGTTTCATGTTCGGTTATTCCAACTTTATGCAATATGTCATCGGATGTCATTTTGTTGTGTAAAAATCCGAAGGCTTTATGATATCCCCACAATTGGGTGGAAATTCAACGGTTTCAAGCTTGGGACGCAAGCGATTCGGTCTAGCAGTATTGTTCTGTAATAATTATAAGTTTGACGACTTGGACGGCTGGTTTGATGCCTAATTTATCTCCTTGGGATTATTTTTAGGCCCCCAAGGTCCAGCTAATTTGAACTCCGGTTTTGGACGCAAAGATATTTGCGGGATGGATGGGTCATCAGTAATTTGGTATCGAACTTGCCATTTATAAGAGTTAAACTTACGAGTGCATAATAATCTCTATTGTGCGAATTTGACAATTTGACTTGATGAGAAAAATTTTCTTCTAAATAAGTTTCTTGAAATTATATGTGAGTTTTGTCAAATATTATAAATAAAATTTTATTCTAAATGAACTCTAATATAGCAACCAACGAAGGGCTCAATCATATTTCCCTTCAATTTGTTGGATGGCTCTAAATTTGGCTTTCTCCTCTTAACTGTAATTGTTTTTAATTCATCGGCATTTTGAAGTGGGCCTCGTAATTAGAAATATTTTTACAATGTTTCATTTTACTGTATTGTTGTTATCGTGGAACTAAAAGGATGTCGACAAAACCAAATAATGGTCTAACGATATTTCTCTTCACTTGTTAGATTCAATTATCATAAAAAATAAATTTGAACTATATTATTGGTAGTTCATTTTGAAGTTTACCCCTCCTTAGAGTAGATAATAACGTTTGTTAAAAAAAATGACAAAAAATAGATGAAACTTATAACAGAAATAGTCGGAGTTTAAAGACCCAACACACAATTCTTTTGAAGGAAGCAAACTAAAAGGAAAAACAAAATCTTACTAACAGGTTGAAGCAAATTCATTCCTCCATAAATCATCCTCAGCACTCGCTACCTCACTGAAGATGATGCTGGCAACAACAGCTGCTTCTTCCTCTTCTTTGAAGGTTGGTTGTGGCAGCAGCAGCAGCAGACTCAGACTTAGAGGTATGCTGCCTTGTCTTGTTCAATCTTCTTCTTCGGTTGTTGTTTTCGTCAGTGATTACTTGGCTTTGTTTCACTCTCGAGCTTCTAAATCGACCGAATCTAGAAACACCCAACAACACCGGTTTGTTAAAATCACTAATCTCGAGGATGCTCTCAATGTGTTCGACAAAATGCTTCAAAGGCGTCCTCTGCCTGTCGTCGTCCATCTCAACCAAATCTTGACTCAAGTTGCCAAGTTGAAACAGTATTCGGCAGTCATCTCCTTGAATAACCAGATGGTTGTGTCCGGAATTCGTCCTAATGTTTATACTCTAAACATTCTCACGAATTGCTTCTGCCATTTACACCAAATCGGGTTCAGTTTATCTGTCTTGGGAAACTTCTTCAAATTGGGTTTTGCACCAGATGTCACTACCTACAGCACTCTAATCAACGGCTTTCTTCTTGAGGATAGAGAGGCTGAGGCAGCGGCACTTTTCAACAAAATGATGGATGGAGGTAATTGCAAGCCGAATGTGGTTACTTTCAACACACTACTAAAGGGCCATTGCTTGAAAGGTAACAACATTGCAGCTATCCAATTGCTTAAGAAGATGGAAGAAGGAGATTGCAAGCCTGACGTAGTTGCCTATAGCACAGTCATTGACAGTCTTTGCAAGGATGCTCTAGTTGTTGATGCACTGAACCTCTTCTCAGAAATGACAAGTAAGGGTATTACCCCAAATGTCATTACCTATACATCTTTGATTCACGGAGTCTGCAAATTAGGAAATTGGAAAGAAGCTACAAGATTGTTGAATGAAATGGTGGAGAAACATATCTTTCCAAATGTGCACACGTTCAGTGTCTTGGTTGATACATTCTGCAAAGAGGGGATGGTCCATGAAGCAAGGAATGTGGTTGAAATGATGATCCAAAGAGATATTGAACCTAATATGGTTACTTACAACTCGCTTATGGATGGTTATTGTTTGCGAGGCGAAATGGACGAGGCGAAAACAGTCTTTGATCTAATGCTTAGCCTAGGCTGCATGGTTGATGCTCGTAGTTATGGCATATTGATAAACGGCTATTGTAAGCTTAAAAGGATAGATGATGCCCGAATGCTTTTCTTGGAAATGTCTCATAAGGGAGTTGTTCAAGATCCAGTTACTTATGGCACTCTTATGGATGGGTTTTGCAAGATGGGGAGAACACAAGATGCACAGAACTTGTTCTCTCAAATGCAAGCTAGGGGCCAACTTCCAGATGTTCAGATTTATAACATTTTGCTGGATGGCCTCTGTAAAAACCAACAATTTTCCAAGGCAGTTGAATTGTTGGAAGAGATGGAGGAAAAGAAGTTGAATTTTAACATTGTAACTTATAATATTCTTATTGCAGGTTTGTGTAGAGCTGAAAAAGTTGAATACGTAAGGGATCTCTTTCTTAGTTTATCATCAAAGGGAATTCAACCTAATTCCACGACGTATAATACAATGATTAGTGGATTTTGTAGTGGGGGGCTAGCAAGTGAAGCAGAAAACTTGCTTAGAGAAATGGAAGAGAAAGGCTGTTCTCCAGATGGTTGCACGTACAACACAATTATCCGGGGGTTTATCAACGACAACGAGACATCAAAGGCATTGAGGCTTATTCAAGAAATGGTGGAGAGGGGTTTTTCTGCAGATGCATCAACTACGGAGTTGATCGTTAATTCACCCGCTTTGTTGGCATTGATACAAAGATTGTGATGAAATTGATTTGCATCTTTTGCAGTTTTTGACAAGTTTCCGTGCATCCTTCCCTTGAGTGCTGCATTGGAGGGAGTTGTTCCACTGCTGGGTCCAGTTCAGGTAGCCCATTCATTCATGCATCGCTTAGTGACGAATGATATGTGTTATTAATTTAATCTATCAAGTGATAGAGCAACTTTTATGTTATTCTTCAATGATGATGAAATTGATATCTGTTGGAGAAGCAGAGTATCTGGACTGATATGAAATTCATAGACATATTTATGGCTCCGTTTAACTTAATAGGACAGGTCTATCCAAGTACATACCTCTCAGATTCATGGTTGTACTGCAAACGCTATTGTTTTTTCTTTTGCAACGTTTGATGAAGGCATCCCAGACTCCCAAAAGCCACCACGGTAGCTGTAGTGTAGATGATTGTTCGAAAAACAAGTACCTGTGACAGTAGCCAGGTCATACATTTGGGTGAGAGTCGTGAGAGACCACCGCATATTTGGAGGCAGCATCGTATGAAAATCAGACGCAATTCATCCTTCGTTTATATTCGGGATCTTGGAATAAAAATAGTGGAGTGTTCCGTGCACTATCGGACTAAGCTATAGACTAAAATAATTTTTTAAACCCTAACTTATTGTAAACACGAATAATTCCTGAAACAAGCGACAAGAATACGTGTACAAAATAATATTTTGTATTAATGATTTTGGGGTTACAATCTCTTTGTAATTTGGTCCTCTGATTCTATCTTCGTAAGGTGTGGGTTTGTGGATGAGTTGTTGATCCAAAGGGCCGTCGGGGCTTGATCTAAGGATGAACAGTTGATGAATGGATCTTCAAGGGGCGTTGGGCTTGATCTTGAAGAATGAGTTTGTTGAGGTTGTTGATCCAAAGGGCCGTTGGGGCTTGATCTTAGGATGAACGGATGATGAACGATGAACACTTTCCTCAAGGGGCCGTCGGGGCTTGATCTTGAGTTGGTGGAAGTTCTTCAAGGGCCGCTGGGGCTTGATCTTGAAGGAGGATGGATGAACGGATCTTCAAGGGCTTTTGGGCTTGATCTTGAAGAACGATTGGATGTGTGGATTTGTTGAGGTTGTTGATCCAAAGGGCCGTTGGGGCTTGATCTTAGGATGAACGGATGATGAACGATGAACACTTTCTTCAAGGGCCGTCGGGGCTTGATCTTGAGTTGGTGGAAGTTCTTCAAGGGCCGTCGGGGCTTGATCTTGAGTTGGTGGAAGTTCTTCAAGGGCCGTTGGGGCTTGATCTTGAAGGAGGATGGATGAACGGATGATGAACGATGAACACTTTCTTCAAGGGGCCGTCAGGGCTTGATCTTGAGTTGGTGGAAGTTCTTCAAGGGCCGTCGGGGCTTGATCTTGAAGGTGGATTTGACGAAGAACGAAGATTGCTTTCTTGATCCTTCGGGATTTGCTTGAGAGCTTTAGAGTTTCAAGGCTTCTTTCTTTCTTCCTTCCTTCTCTTCTTCTTTTCCTCCTTCTTTCTTCTTTCCTCCCTCTTCTTTCTTCCTTCTTCCCTCTTTCTTCTTTCCTTTCCCTCAAAATGAATGCCTTGGCCTCCTATTTATAGAATTCCAAAACTTGATTTTTGGATTTAAATAATCAGATGAAATAAATCATTTCTGCCAGGTATTGACATGTGTCCTATTTGATGACTTTTCCAATTTATTTCGATTTTTCGTTGAGTCACACGCTACATGTAAAATTTATGTGATACGTGAGCGTTGAAATTTTAATTTTTGGTCAACATTTATTTCACCGAAATTTTGATGTCTACACTTATTATCTCTTACCGTCCACAAAACAAAACAAAAAATAAGCACTCACAAATTGCTCTGCTTCAATACCCTCACCCTTTCAACCAAAAACCCATAACAGAAGACGCAAAGTGCTCCTACTTTCAAACACAGACCCCTTACTCCTCTTTTGATTTTTTCAATTTTTGCTCTGTTTGGTAATTGAAATTTGGAAAAAAAACTCATTATTTCTTCTCACACAATCTGCAGAACGGGGTTTGGGAAGGGGAGGGGAGCGGCAATTGGGATGGAGGGGTACTCGGTGGTAACCGGATTCTAAGATTTTAGGCCGTGGTGCGGCTGTGGTCACTGTAGATGGACTGCTTGAGACGGTTTTGGGGAAGACAAGATGTGGTGACATAATCCTAGCTAATACCGAGCTTTCGGCTGGGATTAGATAATGACACAGCGAGGCGGGCGAGTCCAAGCTAGCCTCATTTAACTGAATCCTTTACTACCCCAAACATGGGATTATAGTCCCACTTAGTCTTGTCCCTCTTAAGGAGGTGTAAGAAACGTTACCCTACGGTTTTTTTGGTAAGAGGTCGGAATTTGTTTTGTAATGCTGCGCTCCTCCTCCTTCCGCTTACCACATAATGCTGTCTTCTTCTGATCATATTTGGGCTTAACTTTGATGGCTCAGTTGTTTCGGTCAAGCTACAATACAATGGCTGTTGCCATGGTCATTAGGGTTTTCTAGAAAACCTCTAGTGACTTAAATGAAATGCAACATATTGAGTAACTAATCACAACTTGGTACCTTGCATCGAAGGCTCAGACAAGTCGAATCATCTAGAGAGGAAGCAAAAAATCCTTGCATGCACCTTCTTCTAAAGTTAATTGATCGCGCTGGTGTTGGAGACAGCATGAATGAGTGAGAAAAAGTACGCATTTTGATACAGAACTTTTAAGCTGATGCAGGATGCCAAGTTGAGACCATCTGGGCATGTACCTTCAACCTTTTCAGAACCGCCAGCTCCCGGTCCACTTTAGTTCCATGGGTAGCAACATATTACAGCTTCTTTCTACTGCACCATTCGTGCTCGAGAAGTGCTGCAGAAAACCTCACTCCCAGCCAATTTCTAAAAGAAAAAACACGATTGCACGATATAAATCTATTGATGTTGGCAAACTGTGAGTGCTGATTATCCGCAATGTTGAAGGTGATTAAAAATTCAGTAAACTGTTAACATGGCGGATTGAGAAGTAAGATGTCATTAAAAATGGCACAAAAGCGAGGAAAGTGCAGCTTGCTCATAGATGCAAGGCAAGAGAAAGAACTAAAATCTATGGTTCAGAACCTCCCCAGATAGTTGATCATTTTATTTCGGTTTCCCAGCTACAGGATTCCGGCCAGATTGGATGATCATTGGTTTGCCCTTGAACACATACCCATTTACTAGATTCCGCAACAAAGGTACAATGGCATAACACGAGTAATTTTAACCAACATCAAGATAACAAAGGGACTGCATCTATCTGCTTGAATCGTAAGCAAAACTTGATGCAGATGCAAAGATCCGCAAAAGATCCTAACTGGATTTCAATATTATATAACATGCCACAGATATTTTATAAGGAATGAAATCTTCAAATACTTCAGCTATCGTTGATGTACAAAGAGAGTAACTTAAGCCAGCACAGTTAATCGAATTTTTAAAGGAACAAAGGTTGACTTGGAAGCATAAAGGTTATCAAGAGATCTCACCTGCATGAGCTTCACGCTGAGACCAGATTTGGCTGCATCAATGCTTCCAAATAATGACCCTAAGGCATAGCAATAGTATTACAGTATGTTAAGAATTTAATCAGTTTAACAATTTTTGGACCAGGAGAATTGGAGTGATTTCTATCATTTGTGGACACCAAAAAAATGTCAAGAGAACTAAGGGTCTGTTTGGTATTCTATTTGAAATTTTTTATAATTTTTCAAAACATTTCTTGAAAACAATTTTCTTTAAGACTCAAAAACTTGGTTGATTTGCGATTTAAAAATTTTAAATCTTTCGACTTAAACTAGACAAAGAGATCTAAAAAGAGGGGGTCGCAGGAGAGGGAGAAAGAGGAGAGAGGAGGAAATAAAGTAAGAGATGATTGAAGGAAAGAGAAAGAAGAGAGAGGATCAGACGAGATAGAGAGGAAAAGGAGTGAGAGAAAGAACCGAGAGAATGAAGAGAGTGGATTGGAAGAAGGTAAAAAAAAAAATAAAAAAAAGGAGAGAGAGAGAGAGAGATTTGGAGAGAGAGGGGAGGAGGGAGAGAAAAGAAAAAAGTGAGTTTAAGTTTAAAAGCTTTAAAAACTCACATTTTACATTTTTAAGAATAGATTATATATTTGAGTTAGTCTTGAGTTCAGTTTACGAAAATAGTCCTACTAAACAAGTTTCTAAGCCCTAAACCTTGAAAATTGTTTTTGAGTTTACTAACAGGTTGAAGCAGATTCATTCCTCCATAAATCATCCTCAGCACTCGCTACCTCACTGAAGATGATGCTGGCAACAACAGCTGCTTCTTCCTCTTCTTTGAAGGTTGGTTGTGGCAGCAGCAGCAGACTCAGACTTAGAGGTATGCTGCCTTGTCTTGTTCAATCTTCTTCTTCTGTTGTTGTTTTCGTCAGTAATTACTTGGCTTTGTTTCACTCTCGAGCTTCTAAATCGACCGAATCTAGAAACACCCAACAACACCGGTTTGTTAAAATCACTAATCTCGAGGATGCTCTCAATGTGTTCGACGAAATGCTTCAAAGGCGTCCTCTGCCTGCCGTCGTCCCTCTCAACCAAATCTTGACTCAAGTTGCCAAGTTGAAACAGTATTCGGCAGTCATCTCCTTGAATAACCAAATGGTTGTGTCCGGAATTCGTCCTGATGCTTATACTCTAAACATTCTCATGAATTGCTTCTGCCATTTGCACCAAATCGGGTTCAGTTTATCTGTCTTGGGAAACTTCTTCAAATTGGGTTTTGCACCAGATGTCACGACCTACAGCACTCTAATCAACGGCTTTCTTCTTGAGGATAGAGAGGCTGAGGCAGCGGCACTTTTCAACAAAATGATGGATGGAGGTAATTGCAAGCCGAATGTGGTTACTTTCAACACACTAGTAAAGGGCCATTGCTTGAAGGGTAACAACATTGCAGCTATCCAATTGCTTAAGAAGATGGAAGAAGGAGATTGCAAGCCTGACTTAGTTGCCTATAACACGGTCATTGACAGTCTTTGCAAGGATGCTCTAGTTGTTGATGCACTGAACCTCTCCTCAGAAATGACAAGTAAGGGTATTGCCCCAAATGTCATTACCTATACATCTTTGATTCACGGAGTTTGCAAATTAGGAAATTGGAAAGAAGCTACAAGATTGTTGAATGAAATGGTGGAGAAACATATCTTTCCAAATGTGCACACGTTCAGTGTCTTGGTTGATACATTCTGCAAAGAGGGGATGGTCCATGAAGCAAGGAATGTGGTTGAAATGATGATCCAAAGAGATATTGAACCTAATATGGTTACTTACAACTCGCTTATGGATGGTTATTGTTTGCGAGGCGAAATGGACGAGGCGAAAAAAGTTTTTGATCTAATGTGTAGCCTAGGCTGCATGGTTGATGCTCGTAGTTATGGCATATTGATAAACGGCTATTGTAAGCTTAAAAGGATAGATGATGCCCGAATGCTTTTCTTGGAAATGCCTCATAAGGGAGTTGTTCAAGATCCAGTTACTTATGGCACTCTTATGGATGGGTTTTGCAAGATGGGGAGAACACAAGATGCACAGAACTTGTTCTCTCAAATGCAAGCTAGTGGCCAACTTCCAAATGTTCAGATTTATAACATTTTGCTGGATGGCCTCTGTAAAAACCAACAATTTTCCAAGGCAGTTGAATTGTTGGAAGAGATGGAGGAAAAGAAGTTGAATTTTAACATTGTAACTTATAATATTCTTATTGCAGGTTTGTGTAGAGCTGAAAAAGTTGAATACGTAAGGGATCTCTTTCTTAGTTTATCATCAAAGGGAATTCAACCTAATTCCACGACGTATAATACAATGATTAGTGGATTTTGTAGTGGGGGGCTAGCAAGTGAAGCAGAAAACTTGCTTAGAGAAATGGAAGAGAAAGGCTGTTCTCCAGATGGTTGCACGTACAACACAATTATCCGAGGGTTTATCAACGACAACGAGACATCAAAGGCATTGAGGCTTATTCAAGAAATGGTGGAGAGGCGTTTTTCTGCAGATGCATCAACTACGGAGTTGATCGTTAATTCACCCGCATTGTTGGCATTGATACAAAGATTGTGATGAAATTGATTTGCATCTTTTGCAGTTTTTGACAAGTTTCCGTGCATCCTTCCCTTGAGTGCTGCATTGGAGGGAGTTGTTCCACTGCTGGGTCCAGTTCAGGTAGCCCATTCATTCATGCATCGCTTAGTGACGAATGATATGTGTTATTAATTTAATCTATCAAGTGATAGAGCAACTTTTATGTTACTCTTCAATGATGATGAAATTGATATCTGTTGGAGAAGCAGAGTATCTGGACTGATATGAAATTCATAGACATATTTATGGCTCTGTTTAACTTAATAGGACAGGTCTATCCAAGTACATACCTCTCACCTGCATGAGCTTCACGCTGAGACCAGATTTGGCTGCATCAATGCTTCCAAATAATGACCCTAAGGCATAGCAATGGTATTACAGTATGTTAGGAATTTAATCAGTTTTACAATTTTTGGACAAGGAGAATTGGAGTGATTTCTGCCATTTGTGGACACCAAAAAAATGTCAAGAGAACTAAGGGTCTGTTTGGTATCCTATTTGAAATTTTTTATAATTTCTCAAAACATTTCTTGAAAACGATTTTCTTTAAGACTCAAAAAATTGGTTGATTTGCGATTTAAAAATTTTAAATCTTTTGACTTAAACTAGACAAAGAGATCTAAAAAGAGGGGGGGTTGCAGGAGAGGAAGAAAGAGGAGAGAGGAGGAAAGAAAGTAAGAGATGATTGAAGGAAAGAGAAAGAAGAGAGAGGATCGGACGAGATAGAGAGGAAGATGAGTGAGAGAAAGAACCGAGAGAATGAAAAGAGTGGATTTGAAGAAGGTAAAAAAAAAAAAAAGGAGAGAGAGAGAAAGACAGAGAGATTTGGAGAGAGAGGGGAGGAGGGAGAGAAAAAAAAGAAGTGAGTTTAAGTTTAAAAACTCTAAAAACTCACATTTTACATTTTTAGAGAATAGATTATATATTTGAGTTAGTCTTGACTTCAGTTTTTGAAAATAGTCCTACCAAACAAGTTTTTAAGCCCTAAAACTTGAAAATTGTTTTTGAGTTTAAAAAGTTGGATTCAAGTAGACTCTACTTAGTAGAGTACCAAACAGATCTTAAAATTTCTAACATACTGTTTAAAGAAAACGAAAATTAGTTACACAGAGTTCATCAGGATTGTGAGATCACCAAATATGTAGTAGAAGTTATCGGCAACAATGTCCTTTGCCAAGTTCTTTATATACAACACCAAGGCAGCATTCCCAGCTGCATAGTTCTGCAGATTCCATGTGAGATCTCCGTATTAAATATCTTTTTTATAAGTCGCATAAAACTTTTCCTCAAAGTTCATATAATTTTTATGACCAGGCATCACTTGATTCACTTCAGACTCGATACAGCAAAGCCGCCTACCAAAATAGAGCCAAATTGTCAAATCAAAATCGGTACCTTAAACATTGGCAGTGATAATATTTCTTCTGGTGGCAACTTTTCCAGTTCTTCTGCAGTTGCAAAAGCGTTGATATCTGCACTCTCATTTTCTAGATGCTCTGAGTCTTCAGTAATGCCATCATCTTTATTTTCATTAGTAACAACATTTGGTGCAATTTTTATCTGCAACAAATCCAGGAAGACTATATGAAAAATTGCTCGGCTTAAGAGAACACCCTACAAAGGTGACCATTCATTTCGAAAAGTAAATAACCTCTTCCCATAGAAAAAGATTAAAAGCCCTGTACGATAGGCTTCTTCTTTTTTATCATTGGAATCTCCTTTGGGATAAGAGTAGCCGATTTCAATCCAACATCTTCATGAGCTACATCTTTATCCACTGCAGGACCAACAATAGCTTCCCGCTTAAGACACTTCCGTCCACTTGAAGCTCTGCTATAGGATTTGTCATTGACTTCCTGAAAACATTCAATTCAAAGTCTCGAAGGATGTACAAACTATAAAGAAACAAGAAAATTTGACAGCTAGAGTAAAATTTTCATGTTTTTTGACATAATAATACAAAGGAGGATGTTTGGACATATAAAATTGAAGAAACATGAAATGATTTCACAAGTCTAGTTCAATGCCCACTCAACAAGTGCGGAGATCAATTAAAATTTCATTCTTCTTGAACGCTTTCAAGTGAAATAAGTTTTATGAAATAACCTGAACTTTTTTGGGAACTAAGTGAACAAAAGTTGGCGTGTCTCTGGTTCTAAACCTCCACAATTGGGTGGAGACTATACTTGGAACACATATAATTTCTCAGAAATTTTATATGTGGTCCAGAAGCTTTAATGACTTTTTTTTTATTTTTTGGTTCATTGAAGAGAAGGAGGGATAGGGAGGGGGGACAGAAAATTGTTCTTTGTTTTCACTCCAGAAACCATGCTACCACTCTCCCTCTCATGTAAACATGCACGCAAACTTACAGAACAATAAGCAAAAATCATTATCAAAAGAAGACTTGTCAATCTATGAAGTTACCTCATCTGAAGATTCCATTTCTGACTCTTCACTCAATAAATCAGTTGAGCGAGGCTTTTCAGCTAGAAGTGGGGGAGGAGGTGGAAGTGGCACAGGTACTGAGAGTGGCAGTGGTGGAGAGGGAAGTGCCATACGAAATGGAGCTGGTATATTCATTCTGTTCAGCAAGTCTTAGATAATACGGTCCAAAATATGTTTCACTGACTAGATCAAAACAAAGCACATATTAAAATATGTTTTGGATGCATCTTGATTTCCTTAGTATGATTAGACGGTTCGGATGCGCCTAATAAACAAACCTAATTTGCCTCGCGCGTTCAGTCATCACATTCCTTCGTCTAAAACCTCACGCAGAGATAGAGCTCCCCCAAAACCCTAAACGTCCAAAGGTAATTTTGTTTAATTTTTCAATTATTTTTAATTATCTGACGAATCCCTAGCATAAATTCACTCTCTCTCTCTACTCTAAATGCGTATAATTTTTTGCAGAATTAATCACAAAGCTACGGAGCTGAAAACGCTGTCCATGGCTCGCTTCAAAAATGTAAGCTTGAAATTTTTAGGTTCTGTTTGGTTGTTGGAAAACTGAATCAAAGAGGTTTTTTTTTTTTTTTTGTTGATTTTCTCAGAAACGTAGTTGATTGTTGTGTTTCTGAAAATTTGAAAACAAAAGAAGAAGGTGTTTGTGAAGTCGGTTTCGATGAAGAAGCAGGCTAATATGGACCATATCACAGGGGATAAAATCCCAAGGAGCTTAGCGAAATGTATGTCTTATGTTGGTGGATTCTGTATCGAATTTGTTGTTGGTTTGTTTTCTTAAAGGTTGATCCGGATGAAGTGAATGCCCTGGCTCAACTCATGACCTGGAAGACTACTGTGGCCGACATTCCATATGGTGGAGCCAAGGGTAGAATCGGATGCAACCCCAGGGACTTAGATTTGAGCGAGTTGGAGCGTCTGACTCGCGTCTTCGCTCAGAAAATCCATGACCTCATTGGAACTCATACTGATGTTCCTGCACCCGATATGGGCACCTATGTTCAGACCATGGCATGGATGTTGGATGAGTACTCCAAATTTCATGGTCACTCACCAGCTGTTGTCACTGGAAAGCCCATCATAAGTATTCGACATTGAGAAAATTAAGCCAAAAATCGGTTTCCTGGAGTTGAAAAGTAAGTAATTTGTAAATTTTATGTTTATGTCATTTGTTGTCTGGTATGTATACAGAACTGGTATTCTATGTTTATGTTGTCATTTGTTGTGATGTGGTATAGAAATTTATGTTTACATCATTTGTTAACCAAATGGCTCAAGTTCGCTGCAAAGAGTTCAAGAAGACACCATTATGTATTCCTTGCATACATAACTGCTATGCATTAATCTGCTCTATATCCTTTAATATTTCTGATTAATAACTTACTAAGATGTTGGGTTAATTGAGTTCGTTTTGTTAGAATGGCCACCACGTTTTTAAGTGATTTTCTCTTAGTAGAATCCAGCAAATGATGTTTGATATGGTAAAACATATATATTCAAGATTTTGATAACTGTGTGATTTGGCAATACTTTTCACCTAATATTCCTCTCTCTCTCTCTCTCTCTCTCTCTATGAAGGCACTGATTGCATTAAAAAAAGGTTCCTAGTTAATCAACTATAGCCGGAAAGGGAAGCCAAAACTTCGTCCATTCAGAATTTCTACTGTGAGTAATTTCCTTTACATTAGGATATTGGATTCATTTCATACTAATAAGTTTTTTATCTTACATCTTCCTGCTGCGCATCTCCACGATCATTACTAGATATCTTAACTGCTTCAATAGCTTCATTTTTCATATCTTTAACAGGATGAAACCACACTAATCTGGTATTCACATGGAGAAGAACGAACTCTGAAATTAGCTTCTGCCTCTCGAATTATCCCCGGACAGAGAACAGTGAGTTTAATACTCCACTACGAATAACTAATCAATATTGTTGTGTTTCAACTCAGTAATTGTGCGTTTCAGTCTATAATTATGAACCACTATTGTGTCCTACTCGACACATGTGGTTCAAAAATTTGGTTAAAACCGAGGATTGCTAACTTTTTTTTATTTTTATTTTTATTTTTTTTTAACATTATTGTTATCGTTCAAGCTAAAAATGTCTATATACATAGTTTAGGAAGGGGGTGCTTACAATATAGAATGGCTATAAATATTATTGTAATAGGTTACTATTACATTTTGTGGTTAAATCAGATTGGTTGTCTAAACCGTGCTATGTGTTTCGTAACTCTCTGTATTTCTTATTTGTATCAGTGGAGTTTATATTTTTGTTTTTCAAATTTGATTTCCTCTCATTATGTTTTGATGGATATTTCAGAATTTGAAAAGGTGGTTGTGGTTTCGTGCGATTGCCGTTATACAGCTTAGACCATCACAATTCACCATTGTCACCCCATCACTGCCGTCGTGACCACCGCCGCCACATAACCGCTGTCGAAAACACTAGGTAATTTATGAATTAGGGTTTTTTTTTATTATGTGAATTTCTGGTATAGGGATTTAGGGTTTTAGGGTTTTTGAATTAGTTTTTGTGAAGGTCATTGTTTGATTTTAGGCACACTATAATCGATTACAAGTTTTCGGATCCTAAAGACTTTGAAAGGGTTTCCAGAAAAGACATCTTTCCAAAGGCAAGTAGTGGCACTGTCAATTTCCTCAACCAATCTTCAATGGAAATTTCTCCGTCATCCTATATATTGCAGCATTAACACATTTGATAAGAAATTTTCAGTTTCTAGTCACTGAAGATGGCAGGAAAATGGACACAATAAATTATCCATGGTCTTTATCATGCTAGCTAAGAATTGGAAAGTGCCTGAAATTATTAGTTATTAAACTCTTCCTTTTTGTTTGAAATGCGGGTGGTGTTGGACAAATGGGATAAAAGAAATGGTTGTTGCCTGAAAGTTATTTGAAAATAATGGAAATAAATTTTTTTGTATCGTTATTCTTTAATTGTATGATAATGTTTTCAATGTTTTAGATTACATTGATCAGTATTATTTTAAAGTATATATAAAGATTAGTTTATAGGTGTATGCACTTAATATTGGATATATGGTATTTTTCAGGTTATTTGACATACAATTGCATATAATCTCAATTTTCTCCTGTAATTTTTGTTTGAGCTTCGGAATCGTTGAAATTTTTTTTCTAAATAATAAATTAATTGAAATGGCTATTAGTAATGAATGAGGTGTTTACCGTGTTTTTTTGGTGTGTACAGAGCCAACGTTATGTTGCTAACGAAGGCAAAAACAAGATGCAGTTTGCTGCATATAGAAAACGGAGGTTAGTTTGATTCCAACTCCTTTTTTTAGTTTATTTGAATTTATTTTGAGTCTAAATTATTAAATTAGGAGAGCTAAGAAGATATTAATAACTCGGGTTTTCTCTTTTGGCTACCACCTGGCTCTCTATTTCTCTTTTTCCTCCTGCGTTGCTGCTTTTTCAATGTTGCAACCTATCTGCAAAAAACACACTGTATGTGTTTTGCACGTTTTTGTTCATGCTTCTATTCTTTGTTGTTGTGGTGGTGACTCTGTGAATGGAATTCTCAGTTATCTGTTCCTCTAAAATACATGATACATCTGATTTTTGTTCATGGACAGATGATGCCACATGCTTGAGATTTTTATGCCATCACTCTGTTGGTTCTTTTGTGATTGTTATTGTTTGTTTTAAAATGTGTATGCTATGTGTCATACACAGATTAGAGCAGAGATCCATGATTTAAATTCAACATAATCCTCACATCAAACTTAAAGTTCAATGTTGTTTTTAGAAACTTAGTATGTTGTTACCAATTACGTTAAGTTTAAATCATTTTATCATAACATTATGTATTTAAATTTAACTAATAATGTTAAGTAATAAAATGACGTAACAAAACAATATTCATTGACACACGCCAAAAACAAGAATCTTCATTAACGTTATTAATCAACCAATCAATATTTCATAATTTTTTTGTATGTAAGTGTACTAATATCAATCCAAAGCTGCATGGCCTACCTGTGTGGTCAAATCTTTTGATATAACAATCTACTCGACGTTTTCAATGTAAATAGCATTAATCTTTAGTACATTAATTCAAATAAAATTGTGGCTCAAGGGAACAGTTAATGATCCACATGGCATCAAAGTATCTTACTCAATTGTATATTACACGTGTGTATTACATTATGTGTGTGCGAACACCTTTTTTCACTGTCAATCTATATTAGTTTTGAATTCTGAGTTGATTTAACAAACAGGTTTATTTTTATTTCAGATTAATTTGGTTCTCACTAAATAAATCAAAGATCACAAGACTAGAACCAGTGGTTTCCAAAAAAGGTTGGTTCTTGAATATTTTCATTTATGTTTTTTCAGTCCTTTGAATGGACTTCCTATAATCCAAAATGGGCTATTGATGAACAACTCTTTTGCTACATTGTGTTTGCAAATCAATATTTAGTCTAATAATTGAAGGCTGATTCTTTTTTGTTGAAAAATGTAATCTGGATTCTTAAACTGTGGCGGTTAATGTGGTTTTTAGGTGAATTTTTCGAGCGGGGGAGAAGGGGTGGGTGGGGGCTTTAAATTGTTATTCTCAATTGGTATATAAATATTTAAATGTGCAAAACATGGATATCATGGAAGAATTCAAATGTTTTTCTTGCATTAGGTTAGAGAGCATGATCATTTTCTGTTTGCACATCACAAAGTTTGTTTTGAGTACTTCTCACGCTATTGAGGCACAAATGTTCTTCCTGCATTAGTTAATTTTCTTTATATCAAAATTTAATAAATTCAATTTTCCTTTGTATCCAAATATGTATTAAAGTAATTGTGGTTGAAGTTTGTTTATGTCTGCTTTCCAAGATTTATTTTTTGTTTACATGTCTTACTCCGTTTATGAATGCTTTTTGGTTAACTGAAAGAATGCTTTTCATTCTCGGTTTTCAGGACTTTATCTACCGTTTACAAGTCAACCCCACAATACCAAATTACAAGAGAAGCAAAGATTTGAGGTGATTTTTGCTCTTAACTTATTTAGATTTTATATTCTGGGTTAATTATCAACCGGATTCTGTTACTAGATTTAGAATTGTAATTTGGTACCACTGCTGCCACCTGCCGCTTCAATTTTCACATCCTAATGCCACAAAATGCTAATTTTAAATTCTAGGTTATGGGTAAGCATTTGTATTTGGAGGCACAAATTCTTTTCAGCCGCTAAACCAAGTTCTAAATCTTTTTTCGTGTAGTTTATGTTAGGCTATTCAAGCCCTATTTTAAATGTATAATTGGTTTGCGTGAAATGAATGAAAAAGAGAGTTAGAATACCCTGTGAGATGACCGATTCCAGAAACCATTTTAAATAAAACGTATCAAAAGTTTTGAACGGAGAGCGAAAAGATTCTTTGCATGGAAAACAGATTTCACTTTGTATATAATCATGTGCCCTGATAGCATATTCAAAGCCTATTTAGTTAGGCAAATGTTATTGGCACTCCAAAAATCTTATTTTACACTCCTCACAAGTGTATTTTTCTTTCCTAATATATGAAGTTTGGAGTGTAGAATGATATTTTTGGAGTGCTAATAACAATTCCCTTTAGTTATATCGATTTTTTATTTATCTTTCTAAAGCTTTTATGCCTAGATTTTAAATATGTGATTGGTAATTACTTAGCACGATAATTGTTGAGCTTATGATTGTTATTCATGAATACAAAACCTTCATTCACAAATCACAAATATATGATGAGCTATTTAGAAATTCTGCATTTTCGTCATCCAATTCAATAGCATTTGGGATACAATGCTAGAATTCTGTTACAGCTCCAGTTAAGAGATGTGAAGCATGAAGAATATCTCTTTAGGAAGTGTTAGCTAATCCGGTTAATTGGTCAACGAAATTAGCCATTTTTGTCATTTAGATTGGATAACCTAGGAAGAATGTTGAATGATTGATCATATTCGTTAGCCCTATGTTTTTTTATTGCATAATGATGGAATTGATGCGTCATTTAGTCATAGTAATTGATATAATAAGTACGTATCAATTGCCGCATTCACTCATCTATCCCTTTCTTCATTAAGGTAAAATGTATCTTATTCATGCAGTTCAAGGTGATGCATTCAAGTCCCACAGCAACGCTCGGGCACATTTTCTAATTTAACCTAATCTCACTCCATGAACTGTTCAAACTACATTTAACATGAACACTATACTGCATAAAATCAGCATTAGGCAAATCTAATCAAGGGTTTGGAGCTAGAAGCTTAGCTAAAAAATTTCATCATACAATCAACAACCAATGGGTTTTTTTATTTTTTATGGCTTGTTATTTTAATATTTCAGATATTGTTGAATAGACCTTATATTTGTGTTTTAGGAAAACTAATTATTCATAGTGCATTTGAGGTATTGTTTTTCAAATTTTCTTCGTCAATAGAGTTTATCGTTTGTTTCTCTAGAAAATAAATTTAAGATCTGCATGCTATTCAATAATAATGACGGGTCACTGTTTCTGGACTGTAAAAATAAACTGTTTCTGGAAACGAAGTCATTGTTTCTGGAATTTAAGCCACTGAGTCTAGATCCAAATGAAATAGACACACTATTTCTTAAATGTAAGCTAGAAAATAAATAGTGAAATTCACTGTATTTGGATTCAAAGCAAAATAAGCACCCTGTTTCTTAAATATAATCAACTGATGCAAGAAAGAAAAGAAACAGTCAAGGGTTAAAACATAGACTGTTTCTGGAATCTAAGTCACTATTTCTGAAATTTAAGTCACTGTTTTTGGAATTTAAGTCACTGTTTTTGGATTTTGGTTATTTTCTTTCATGATACAGTGTTTGTTTATGCACAGACAAAACAAACACTATATCTGATTTTTTTTTTCTTCTAAAAACAGTGTTATGTTTTGGATTCTCCGGAAATAGTTTTATGTTTTGGTTCTTTTTTTTTTCCATACACTTTTTCGTCGGCTTCTGCCATTAACTTCTTTGAACTTGTTTTGACGGCTTTGTTAAGATGAATGCTTCATTTTTCAACTCTGATTTAACTTTGATTTGGTTGTTTTTGAAATGGGGGAAGTCGATTTGATAGGAAGACATGGAGTTATTATGGGCGTTTCGTGCTGGGTTGAGATCGATGAAGAGTTAGGACAATATCGAATCATTTAGGGGTATTTACAGAAGTGTAAATTTGTAACAGGTTGGGCTTGTAAGTTTGACCCGTGGACAATAGTTTTGGATGGTTTTTTTATTCAACTTTGAGCCCTTTTGGTTAAATAATATTTTGTGATCGTTTTTGGTTAAATATTTGTTGGCCCAAGCTCTTTTCATTAAAACTCCCTTGTTTTTTTTATTAAAATTTATTTACACTCGTATATTTCCATATTACACTTTCATCCCACACTTGCAACATACATTGCACATTTTTTATATACACCATACATTTTCTACACTCTTCACGAATACATAATGTCAAGCAAAGATCTTATTTGTTCTTCGAATTATGAGGTGGTTTCCATGTTGTTTCTCTTCTCTTTCAAATAATGAAGATTTAGATTTGAGAATCCATCATTAAAGCAAAAACAATTTGAGAGCCCATCACGTTGTAGCAAAAAGAGATCTATAAATGCATTGCATAATTGGTTATGCATTAACTTCATAAATACAATTTTTGGGTTGCTTCATACTAAGTTAGCCTACTCTTTGATAATAGTTTTATTGCTGAAAATTTAAACAAATATAATTTAATGGTATTTCTCTTTATTTGTAAATGACAAATTTTAGACTCGATTATGGCTAAAGGTAAATTTGAATTATATTATTGGTAGCCCAAATGATGTTATCTACATTAAAGGGAGGATGTAGTAAGCTTAACCTCACAATAGAATAATTAACCTCACAATAGAATAACAATAATGTGATTCAAATTCACCTTTGACGAAAATCGAATTTAAAATCTCTAATTTACAAGAGGAGATGAATATTATTAGGCTATGGTATTAAGTGCCAAGAATTTTCCACTGTACTAAGTCCCAATTTCTTGAGATTAACAAATGGGTAATTAGTTACCAAACAACATTTCAACAAAAACTTTCAGATTTTGAAAATGTCAAAAAAAAAAAAAAAAAAAAAACTCAAAACGAAATGGTTAATGTACGGTTCCAGTATGAATATTTTTTTTTAAATTCAATTCAGAATATCAATCTTATACAAATAAAATAAAATGGGATGATAAATGATAATATTTGAAATCCCTATGTTCCTTGAAATTATATGCGAGTTTTGTCAATATATGTTCAAGGGTTCTAAATTTGGCTCTCTCCTTTTCATTTGTAATTGATTCCAATATGTTGGGATTTTGGAGCGAGCCAAGTTAATCCTGCTAACAGGTTGAAGCAGATTCATTCCTCAGTATATCTTCCTCAGCAAAAGTTTTCCGAAAAGTGGATTTACGCACGGCCTCGCTGACTCACTAAAGATGATGCGGGCAACAACAGCTGCTGCTGCTTCTTTTTGGAAGGTTGGTTATGGCAGCACCCGCACCAGAGGTATGCCTCCATGTCTTCTTCAAGCTTCTTCTGTTGTTGTTTTCTTCAACAATTACTTAGCTTTGTTTCACTCTCGACCTTTTAAATCGACCGAATCTAGAAACACCCAACACCACCAGCTTGTGAAAATCACTAATGCTGAGGATGCTCTCAATGTGTTCGATGAAATGCTTCACAGGCGTCCTCTGCCTTCCGTTGTCCTTTTCACTCGAGTGTTGGGTCAACTTGCCAAGTTGAAGCATTACTCGACAGTCATCTCCTTGAATAACCAAATGGTTGTGTCAGGAATTCGTCCGAATGTTTATACCTTAAACATTATCATTAATTGCTTTTGCCATATGCACCAAATGGGGTTTAGCTTGTCTATCTTGGGAAAATTCTTCAGATTTGGTTTTGAACCGGATGTCATAACCTTCAACACTCTAATCAACGGCTTTCTTCTTGAGGATAGAGAGGCCGAGGCTGTAGAACTTTTCAATAAAATGTTGGAGAGTGGTAATTGCAAGCCGAATGTGGTTTCTTTCGGCACGTTAGTTAAGGGTCTTTGCATGATAGGTAACAATAGTGCAGCAATCCAATTGCTTAAGAAGATGGAAGAAGGAGTTTGCAAGCCTGACTTAGCTGCCTATAGCATGGTCATTGACAGTCTTTGCAAGGATACTCTAGTTGTTGATGCACTGAAGCTCTTCTCAGAAATGACGAGTAAGGGTATTGCCCCAGATGTCATTACCTATACCTCTTTGGTTCATGGAGTTTGCAAATTAGGAAACTGGAAAGAAGCTACAAGATTGTTGAATGAAATGGTGAGTAAACATATCTTTCCAAATGTGCGCACCTTCAATGTCTTGGTTGACACATTCTGCAAAGAGGGGATGGTCCAGGAAGCAAGGAGCGTGGTCGAAATGATGACGCAAAGGGATATAGCACCCAATACAATTACATACAATTCGCTTATAGATGGTTACTGTTTGCGAGGAGAAATGGACGAGGCTAAAAAGGTTTTTGAAATAATGCTTAGCAAAGGCTGCATGGTTAATGCTCGTACTTACAACATATTGATAAATGGCTATTCTAAGCATAAAAGGATAGATGATGCTCGGATGATTTTTCTAGAAATGTCTCATAAGGGAGTTGTTCCAGATACGGTTACTTATAGCACTCTTATTGATGGGTTTTGCAAGATGGGGAGAACACAAGATGCACAAAACTTGTTCTCTCAAATGCAAGCTTGTGGCCAACTTCCAAACATTCAAACGTATAATTCTTTACTGGATGGCCTTTGTAAAAACCAACAATTTCCCAAGGCAGTTGAATTGTTGGAAGAGATGGAGGGAAAGAAGTTGGATTTTAATATTGTAACTTACAATATTCTTATTCAAGGTTTGTGCAGAGCTGAAAAAGTTGAATATGCATGGGATCTCTTTCGTAGTTTGTCATCAAAAGGAATTCAACCTGATGTCTGGTCATATAATATAATGATTACTGGATTTTGTAATGGGGGGCTAACATGTGAAGCAGAAAACTTGCTAAGGGAAATGGAAGAGAGCGGCTGTTCTCTAGATGATTGCACGTACAACACAATTATCCGAGGGTTTTTCAATAACAACGAGACATCAAGGGCAGTGATGATTATCCAAGAAATGGTGGAGAGGGGTTTTTCTGCAGATGCTTTAACTACGGAGTTGATAGTTAATTTATTGTCTAAAAATAAAGTCGATCCCGCTTTGTTGGCATTTATAGAAAGTCCGTGATGGAACTGATTTGCATCTTTGCAGTTTTGACAACTTTCTGTGCTTCATTCCCTTGAA